GTATGTATGTATGTATGTATGTATGTATGTATGTATGTATGTATGTAAGTAAGTATATATGTATACTTCCTCTTTCACTGCTTCTCATAAGAGGTTAATGTAGAGGTTTATGAAGGGTTTATAAAAATACTTACAATAAATTCTCCCTCCCTCCCTTCCCCCCCTCCGTGTGTGTGTGTATGTGTGTAATTTTATAATTTCATGAGCTGTAAGCCATCATCATCACAATTATGACAAATCATGGCTTGAACTATCTTGCTTTGCATGTAATGAGTCTATCTCATATATTAGTTTCACCTTTTAAGTTGCATTACTGAAATAATTGAACTTTTGCACGATATTCTAATTTTTTGAGTTTCACCTATATATTCATGTACGATTTTGTTCATCATACTATATCTGTAATTTTTGCAGGCAAGATAAATAGATAGAGCATGCATTCCATGGTATCTGGATTGTATCTTAGTCACAAAGTAATTACAAAATTCAGGAATACTTGAAATTGAAAAATAAGTTTATTCTAGTCCACATATTATTTGGGCAAACACAAATTCAATAGAATCACTTAAAAATATAAATTTAAAAATGTTTCCCATTCTTAGTACTGCATGTGTTTAAGTGCTTCTTGCTTTCTACTGGGTCCAGACAAGAAAAGCTAGAGATTTCTCCAAAAATGATCAACATATAGCAATAATTTGTGTAATGTCTACTCTTGTTAATTTGTGCAGCACCTTGCTTAAGATACTTAAATGTGTTTATTGATGAAAGCCGTTTACTTCAAAGCAATTTCTATTAAAGATGATTGCAGTGTTGCAAAGTAAATGGATTGTGGATTGTAGATAAATTCAGCTTCCCACATGCTACAGAAACACTGGAAGGAATACAGATCAAAACTACAAACGTTGCTTCCATATTTAAACTGTGTTTGGCATATGTGATTATATCATTTGAAATTGAGAACTTACATATGTGATTTTAGATGAATAACACATAATACTCCAGATTGTTGCCAAAATATATAAAGAATCACTTTTGTAGACACCTGATCTTTGGCATGCAGCATCGTTTGTAACAATTTTAACGCTAACTAAATACACTTTGATGAGACAGCATTTAATAAAATGCTCATTAATTTCATCATTAGCAAGGGTATGCTAAGAAGTAAGCCAGTTTCTTATGTCACGCCCAATTAGCATCCCATGCTAGTAATCCCATTAGTATTGTTGAATTCACTAATGGAAAAACTAATGGGCATGCTACCAGGGCACATTAATTGGGCATGACACCAGTTCTGGTTTTAATTATTAAACTATGATAATGAAATGTGTGTTTGTAAAATATTAAAATGTTGAAATAGGATAGAAGACAATAAAAATAGTGTATGAATAGAACATGAGCTGATTCATAAAATGCATTATCATAGAATGGATAACTTTTCTATATATAATATATGCTTACTAAGATAGTATCAGGTTTTAAAATATCTGATGAATCAACTTGAACTCCCTTATGGCAGTTCTGAAGTTTTCCACTAATGTACTGAATTTCAGAGAATTAATGCTTATGGGAAATGTTTTTTCTCTTCTTCATATTGTATTTTATATTGTTGGTTCTATTGTGAACTACTCAGTCATTCTGGAGTTTGTAATGCTTAAATCAAAATCATAATTGTTCTAATTATTACAGGGTTCTGCTATTGCTGTAACTCCAGAAAATGATGGTGGAAGGCAATATAATGATAACAATTGGCATCATATAAGTGCAATAAGAAATGAAGCCTTGGGAACAATAATTATAGATTGGCAATTCTCAGGTAATGGTCTGATTATGATAAATTTAATTTTCTCAAGAGTTTCTTCCACCCAAGCTATTCTATGAATGTTTATCTTATGGTTATTTTATCTGTTTCTTATAATTTGTATGCTTTCTACCAGGCTAGCACACTTTTCTGAGATCAGGTTTTTTTGTCTTATAATTTGTTTTATATATAAAGCTAAAACAGTGGATTTTAATGCAACATATTCTAGTTCATATTTAAACACAATTATTATTTTTTTAGGTTCCTCATCAGCTACAAGTGGTAGTACCATTATAGGAGAAAATACAGGTATTTTTGTTGGAGGACTTCCACAAGACTTTATAATTGAAAGGAAAGACATAGGTGAGAAGAATCTTACCTTATTAGATGAATCTTAGAATTCTTTCTAAGAATTAACAATGACATTTTTGTTGTGTGTAGCTAAGTATTACAGCACAGATGTACTTTCCCCACCACTTCTTCACATGCAGACATATTCTTCAGATACAGACATTTATCTATTTCACTAAATATTCAGAAGTTGATTTTCTGCAATGATTCTTTTAGTATCTTGGAAGGTATTTATTTCTTTACAAAGCCTGATTTCTTCAATACTACTTGCTGAGATTTGTGAGTGCTAGCTCACCTGCTTGATATGGAAGCATACCACTATACTACAAAGAGCAGCTTTACAGCACAGTAGCTAAAGAAATAATCACCATATAAATGTAAAGTATAAAATAGCATGTATTAGATTCAGTGGGATGTTCCCAACTGTCCTTCCCCATATTGTAGTTGTTCCATCCAAATCCTTCACAAAATTTTCTGTTTTGCTGCTGCAACAATATTTTTGTTTGGGATCAAATCCGAAAAACGGTTACAAATAGGTAAGTGTGGAAGTGTGTATTCGATTCTGGGAACTGCCCTGCGAATGCAAGGAAGGATATAATTTGGGAAGGATTCTCTTCATTTTGAAATTCTAGTAACTTTGCTGTTTGTTTGTTTATTCATTAATCAGGCCCAACTAGAATAGTCACAAAGGGATTTGTGGGGTGTCTCTGCGATATCTTCTTGCAAAAGATGCACCATCCCTATGAAGTCTGGGAATCTTTAAAATGGGAAAAAGCAGTGGAGCAAAGAAATGTTTATCACAATTGGGAAGGTTGTCCTACTTGCCTTGAAGATGGAGCACATTTTCTTGGGAAAGGTATAATCATTTAGTAAAATTGTTAGAAACAGTAGCTGCCTTTCTTTTTGTTTTAGATAAGCTCTGGAAGTTTTTTAGAAGGCATTGAACAATGATTTTCCTGAAATGGTATAGGGCAGTGATGGCTAACCTTTTCTGGGTAGAGTGTCCAAAGAGCGCACACATGCCCATACCCCCAAAATGCAATCTATGCATCACCCCCATGCATGCACCCCCACGTATGTGCCCCCCCATGCGTATGCATAGCAGAGACCTGACGGTACGCTGGCCAGAGGGAGGCACACGCCCATTGCAGTGAAGCTGAACTAGGGCGACGGCTTGCGTGCCCACAAAGCGGGCATAGCATGTCACCTGTGGCACATGTTCTATAGGTTTGCCATCACAGTTATAGGGTTCCCTGTTTGAGCAAGGGATTGAATTAGAAGACCCCCAAGTTCCCTTCCAACTTTGTTATTCTTTTATTATTACTTACCCTTTGGATCTGTTATTTTTGTGCATGTATTAAGTTAAACTCCATGAAATTGAAAAATCCAATATTTTTCAAAATATATCAAATTCATAAAAAAGAAAAAAAATCATATGAAAATCAGTCAATACATAACTGGCTTGTAAGAACAGGGAGATGGAAGCAAATGAATATGAGAAGACATTTACCTGTCTTCAATAGTTTCTCTTTATTTTAGGATGGTACCAGTTCTACTGAAGTTAAAAAATTTTCTTGTATGATGCTAATATGTGTGCGTTGCTAACATATGTAGTCTGAATTACAGATTAAGTATACATATCTTACATGTACATGCTTGAAAACTTAGGTCTGCATTCCTTAATTCCTGTAATTTCACTTATAGTAACTAGAGTATAACATTCTTGCCTTTCTCCTTAAGGTTTCCTAGAACTCCATTCAAATATTTTTCATGGTGGCATGGATTTTGAGATCTCCTTTATGTTTAAAACAGATCAATTCAGTGGTTTACTTCTGTTCATTTACAACAAAGATGGGCCTGATTATATTGCTGTAGGTTTGTTTATTGTTTTGCTTGGTTGTTTTGCTTATTTGGTTTAATTGTCAATTGCTGTGGGCAGGGTACAATTTTTTAACGAAATATTTTAATAGTTTTGAATGGTCAGTTGAGGTCACTTGTTGCATAGATATGTTTTAATTCAATTTTAAATTGTAGAAATGTTGTCTCTGGCTTGTAAAAATGAAAGAAACAGACATGCATAGAGACACAAATGGATTCTTCTCCCATTCCAGTTCTCTAAGAAGTGCAGACAGCTGATGGGATAAGTCGTGTTGAACTGACTTTGGATATTCTCATTTTACCTTAAAAATGAAATATTATGCAAAAAATGATGTACTGTGCAAATTCAGTCTGTGAAAAAAATGTGTGTATCTCAAAAGCTGGGATTTTGCTTTCCAAACCCAATAACCCCAATGATATTTGTAATATCTTGCCTTGTTTTTTGTTTTGTGTCCTGGAAATTCAATTCAGGAACTATATTCCTTAAAAATTGCACTTTTTGAATGGGTTAAGTTCAGATGCTACATTGGTTTTGTTTTGCTACAATCATCAATCCCACCCCTCTCTCTCTTTAACTTCAAATGGCAGGCAGAACTGAAAAGTGGAAGTCTGATTTTCCTACTAAATAATGGCATTGTCTCCACACGTGTGAATCTCTGGTTAGGACTATCTTACTGTGATGGAAAGTGGAATAAAATGATTTTGTCAAAAAGAGGATCGGTAGCTTCAGCAAGGATGAATGAATGGACAGACCATGTGATGGAACCTGATTTGAAGCAACTATTTGTAAACTCTCCAGTCTATCTTGGAGGGACTCCAGTTGAGATCCAAGAAACATTTAAAGACCTGGGCTTAGAACAGGGTGTGTATACATGGAGAGTAGGAAGCGGTTTGCACATTAATTACATGTTACACATATTTATTGGAAATGTTTATAACTTGAATCAAAGTTTGCATGGGGGCAGGGAAGAAGAAATCAGCAAATTTCACTTAGATTTGTGTTAAGTGGAAATGTATCCATGCATCTTGCATCCCCTCCTGTATGTAAGTAAGTAATATTTATGCAATTACTTAAATAGGACCACTTAATATGTTACACTGAATTCCATGCTACTTTTAAAAATTAAATAATTAATAATATTTATTATACTATTACTCATACTTAAGTTTAACCAATGTAACTAACAATAAATATTTCAAAGCTACACATACAAATAGACAATCTCTGGTGTAGAGATGTTTTGTTAAAATAATTTTAAATAAATTTACTTAATTTATAAATAATATATAATATCACATGTATGCCAATTCAAAGAGCCAGTCTGATGTAGTGGTTGAAGCACTAGGCTAGAATCCCTGAGCTCCTGAGTTCAAGTCCCATCTTGGACACAAAATCTGCACAGTGACTTTAGGCCAGTCACTCTTTTTCAACTCTATGAAGCAGCCACGAAGAAACCAAATCTTGCCAAGAAAACTGCAGGGACGAGAGTCCAGGCAGCTGCCAGGAGATAACACTGACTTGACAGATTAGAATTCCAGAAATGTATACTTATTTTTTGCTGCAAATGTTTCTGCCTACTCCAAAGTCAGAAGGCTGGGAGATGTTACTAGGTCACCTGTAACTGTGATAGTATATACTGGGCAGAATGGGCATTACATCTTTAAATGGTGGGACAGCTCGATACCTAATATAGATACAGCCTTTTAGTCCCTTGCACCTAAATATTTGACAACATGTAATGCCAAAATTTGGTCAGTGTAATTTAAAAAATTGAACTATGGGAAAATAATATGCCTAAGTAATTAACAATGATATTCCGCACATATCCAAACTCAAATTTTCTAAACAATTAACCTGATAAATATTCATTTGAAATCCTGCAAAAGAACATCCTCTATAATAATAAAAAAAATCACATTAATTTGAATTTGTATTTGAGCTACAATTTAAAAATCAATCTTGTTGCATATTTTTTTTTGCTGACCCTTCCCAAAAATAACATGAAGCAACAGTGTTACGTAGGCAAACAGACGTGTATAGAAAGTTTAACATTTAAACTGTACAACTGCACAATTAAAATGTAGCACTGTAAGAAGTAAAACGTGCTTCTTAATTAACAGCTGAAGCCCTTTACCTGCCGCTAATCCCCTTACTATTTGCTAGGTTTTGGAGGCTGCATGAAGGATGTTAAATTTACACGAAGTGCTGTCGTTAACTTGGCATCTGTGTCCAGCAGTGCTGTCAGAGTCAATCTGGATGGATGCCTATCAACTGACAGTGCTGTAAACTGCAGGGGAAATGACTCCATATTAGTGTATCAAGGCAAAGAGAAACATGTATATGATAATGGTCTGCAACCATTTACAGGTAACACAGTGGCTCCTTCCTTATAGGTATGGTTTTTGTTCACTTTGCGGTGATTCTGGATTAATTTCTCTCTCTGTGCATCTATCTCTTTCTCTCTCATATCCTCTCTCCCCCTTCCTCCCTCAAGAATATTTATATCGGGTAATTGCTTCTAATGAAGGAGGATCTGTATCTAGTGCCTGGAGCCGTAGTCGCACAAGAGAATCAGGTAATTAATGTTTCTGCATAGTGTTCCCATATGAAGTCTTTATTTAGGTTGCCAATATGTCAGTATGGACATATTTAGATTGGCACTAGCAAAACACAATAAGCAAGTAATGCAGAATTGTTCTCTAAATGCAGTGAATTTTACAGTTTTGCTGGCTGCGGACTGGTAGCATATAAGCAAGGAGGCTAGAGTTTGGACATTCAGTTCTTTTTTTCCTCAGATTTTTATCCTATCTTTTATTTTTCAAGGCAACAAACATACCACTACTTCTTCCTCCTGTATTTTCCTTCAAAATAATCTTGTGACATTGGCCAGTTACTCTCACTCAACTCAACTCAACTCACATAATCTTGTGAGTTGAGTTGAGGGAGAGTGACTGACCCAATGTCACACAGCTGGCTTTCATGCTTAAGGTGGGACTAGACCAAAACCTTAACCATTACACCAAAGTGTCTCCCCTTATTTGTGCCTTATACTTTTGCCTTACTTTTATAAAAGTAATAACAAAATTCCATAAATGTATTTTGAAAGCAATTTCCTTCTGGACTGCACTTTGGAAAAATTCAAAAAGCGCCCTAGAAAGATATATGACATCCTTTGCTTTTTCCATTCCACCCACTGGTCAATATTGATCATATTTCTTTGGGGGTTTCTGGGTTCAATTTTTCTCCTTAAAAAAAAAAAAAGGCAGAATTGGAAGAGCACAGTTGGAAATATCTGTGGATCAGATAACAGATAATCAGAGTTGGAAGGGACCTTGTAGGTCATTTAGTCCAATCCCCCGCCCAAGCAGGAGACCCTACACCATTTCTGACAAATGGCAGTCCAATCTCTCCTTGAAAGTTTCAAGTGATGGCGCTCCCACAACTTCCGAGGGCAAGCTGTTCCACTGGTTGAGTGTTCTCACTGTCAGAAAGTTTCTCCTTATTTCCAGGTTAAATCTCTCCTTCTTCAGTTTCCATCTGTTATTCCTTGTCTGGCTTACAGACGCTTTAGAAAATAGCTTAAGCCCTTCCTCCCTGTGGCAGCCCCTCAAATATTGGAAGACTGCTATCATGTCTCCCCTGGTCCTTCTCTTTACTAGACTAGCCAAGCCCAGTTCCTGCAACTGTTCGTTGTATGTTTTAGCCTCCAGTCCACTAATCATCCTGGTTGCTCTTCTCTGTACTTTTTCTAGAGTCTCAACATCTTTTTTATAATGTGGTGAACAAAACTGGAAGCAGTACTCTAGGTGTGATCTTACTAAGGCTTTATAGAGTGGTATTAGTACCTCCCTTGATCTTGATCCTATCCCTCTGTTAATGCAACTTAGGATTGCATTAGCTTTTTTGGAGGCTGCTGCATACTGCTGGCTCATATTTAGCTGGTTGTCCACTAAGACTCCAAGTTCCCTCTCACAGTTACTGCTATTGAGCCTGGTTTCACCCAGTCTTTATGTGTACTTTTGGTTTTTCTTGCCTAAGCGTAGGACTTTACTTTTCTCTACACTGAATTTCATTTTGTTAGATATGGCCCAGTGTTCTAGTCTGTCAAGATCCATCTGGATCTTGAGCCTATCTTCTTGGGTGTTAGCTATTCCTGCCATCTTAGTATCATCTGCAAATTTGATAAGTTCCCTTTGTATTCCCTCATCTAAGTCATTAATGAAGATATTGAAGAGTACTGGGCCTAAGATGGAACCTTGTGGCACCCCACTGCTTACTTTCCTCCATGTAGACTTAGACCCATTAAGGACTACTCATTGAGTATGGTTTGCCAGCCAGTTGCGAGTCCATCTAGTGGTGGTACTATCTATTCTACTTTTTTCTAGCTTACTAAGAAGTAGGTTGTGGTCTACTTTGTCAAATGCCTTGTTGAAATCTAAATATATTATGTCCACAATATTTTGCTGGTCTACTAATTTAGTCACTGTGTTGAAGAATGAAATAAGATTGGTTTGGCATAATCTGTTCTTCACAAACCCATGCTGACTGCTAGTTATTACTTTACTTGTTTCTAGGTGTTGGCAGATCTGTTTTTTTATTATCTTTTCAGTGTCTTCCCGGGTATTGATGTTAGGCTGATTGGTCTATAGTTTCCTGGGTCTGTTTTTTTTCTTTTTTTGAAGATGGGAACCACATCAGCTTTTTTCCAGTCCTCTGGTAGTTCCCTGGTGCTCCAGGATTTTTGAAAGATATGGTGCAGTGGTTCTGAGATGACCTCTGCCAGCTCCTTTAAAACTCTGGGATGTAATCCATCAGGCCCCAGTGATTTGTTTTCATCAAGATCAGACAGGTGTTCTCTTACTATTTTTTTGCTTATTTTAACTTTTATTTCTGGTCTGTCCTTTACAGTTATGTTTTTGGTTGGTTGAGCTATAGTTTCTTTTTGCGTGAAGACGGATGCAAAGAATGAGTTAAGCAGTTCTGCATTCTCTCTGTTTCCTGTTACTTCCTTGCCATCTTCTCTCTTTAATGGACCGACTGTTTCCTTGATTTTTTTTCTTGTTATTTATATGTTGGAAGAAATTTTTTTTTATTTTCTTTGACTTTTGTTGCAAGTCTTTGTTCGTTCTTATCCTGACTTCGTCTTTGCAGATTCTGGCTATCTGCTGATATTCTGCCTTAGTTGTATGTCCTTCTTTCCATTTTTTGTACTTGTCCTTTTTTTTCTTTCAATTTGCCAGAGAGATCTTTGTGCAGCCATGCTGGTTTCTTCTTGGATTTCTTGTTTTTCTTTCTCAGTGGTATTGTGCTGGTCTGGGCTTCTATGATCATACTTTTTAGAGTTTCCCAAGATTCTTGAGTTGTTTTCCCCTTTAGGATTTTCATCCATAGAATCTTTCCCAAGTTCTCTCTGAGTTTATTGAAATCCAAGACTCTGGTGTCATTATGTTCTGTTGCTTGTGTTTGTGTTATGTTGAATTCTAGTATGACATGGTCACTCTCACCCAAGGTTCCTGCAGTTTCAACTCCCTCTATCACTTCTTCTCTGTTTGTAAGAATTAAGTCCAGTATGGCTGTCCCTCTAGTTTCACCCTTTACCTTTTGGACAACAAAGTTGTCAGCTAGGTTGGTTAGGAACTTATTTGATTTCTCACTTGTTCAGAATTAGTTTTGTAATTGATATCAGGATAGTTGAAGTCTCCCATTACTATTGTTGTGTGTTTCCTGCATATGTTTGTTAGTTGGCTGGCAAAAAGGACATCTATATTTTCTGCTTGATTGGGTGGTCTATAATGTACACCTATGGCCATGTCATTCTTTTTTTCTTTTATATTGACCCATATGCATTTTAGGAGATTTTCATCTTTGGTTTCATGCATTTCTGTAGCAATATAGTGATCCTCTTTTATGGGATCTGTTGTTGTTTTTTGATAGTTTGTATCCTTCTACCAGTATGTTCCAGTCATGGGTTTCATCCCACCAAGTTTCTGTTATTCCAACTATATCATATTTACCTTCATGTATTCATAGTTCGAGTTCACCTTGTTCGTTCCCCAGACTTTGTTCATTTGTATATAGGCACTTGAGATCTTTATGTGTGACATTGTGTTTACTGTCTACATAACCTGTGTTGTGCCTGCCTGCCACCTGTTTGATTAGTGCACATGGTATGGCACTCACTATTAAATGCTTGGTTTTGGTGGGCATCAGGGTTGATAATCTCACCTGCACAAACATCTAGTTTGCATGCACTGGTATCCTTATTAGTTTTAGGTTGCTGGGGACAGAAATGTTTTGAATCCATTAATTCTCTGTCCTCGCTGTTCAGTTTAAATGTTTACCAGGAAATCTGTGAATTTAATGCCAAGTAACTCAGTCCCTTTCTTTGATGAATGCAAACCATCTCTTTTGTACAGTTTTTCATTGGGCCAGCTGTAGACATCATGACTAATAAAACCAAAGCCTTCCCTTTTACACCACTCCTTTAGCCACACATTAAACTCTGCTACACGCTGCTCTTTCCCTTTTTGTTCCTTGTATACTGGTAGAACCTCTGAAAAGATAAGCCTATAGCCCATATTACTAAGTTCATACCCCAAGCTCTGGAAGTCTTTCTGAACAAAAAGTAAATCCTTCTGGGACAGATCATTTGTACCAAGATGTATAATAACATCAACATCACAGTCCTTGCTGGCATTCTTGACTATCTTAAGAATACGCTTCTTGTTTCTGCTGGCAGTAGCACCTGGTAGACACCTGACCTCTTTCAAAACCTCATAATCCTTTCCTAAATTTATATCCCTTACAATTGAGTCCCCAACCAGAAGGTGGCTTCTCTTTTTGGATGTCTTGCTCTTCTTGTGTGACTGGTGTGATAATACCTGATTCACACTTTCTCCTTTCCAAAGTCAGTTCTTCTTCTAGGACCATGATCCCCAGCTTACTTGAGTTATCATTATCACAACTACCTTGACCTGTCACTTTAGTGTCCCTATTAAGGTCAGCAAGGGCATTGTATCTGTTATGCTGGGACACAGAAAAAGCTTTGAGTTTATGGTCCACAGCTCTCACCCTGCCAGATCCCACGGTTGTCCATACTGCCATTTTCCTGTAGGGTCTTTGTAGTAGTGGGGGCTGGTAGCATGACAGTTCAATAGATGGCTGGATTGGGCACCTAATTTCTGCTTGGAGAGCACAGATTAGAGATTTTAGATAGGTAATCTGTCCATGTAGACTGGTAATTAACCTTAGACTGTCTACTATTGACCTCATCCCTTTCCTAAGAGGTCTGTAGGGGGCGTGCATAAGCGCACCAACGTGCCTACCGTCCCTGTCCTATTGTTTCTCTTATTCTTCTTTTATTTTTCTTATATGTACCCATTTCATGTATTCACAACTATGTATACACTTATACATTATCTTGTAAACAATTGGCAAATCAAATAAATAAAAATAAATAATTCTTTTACAAAGAGGACAGTATCCAAGTTTGAAAAGAGTACTGCGAAAGACAGCTGTAAAACAAGTATTATACTGAACTAAGCCGGTCATTTTGAAATAAAATAAAATCACAATCTCAAGCGCACTTACCCTAAATGTGTTATTGGTATTCTTGGTTTATAGTTATATGATTCACGCGCCATTAGGCGCGCGGGCCACTATCTTTCTCCTTTCTACTCACCTTCTGCTTCCTTCACAAGCAGCCAGCAGCTCCTCCCACAACCTCTGGGAATTTGAAATGCTTGGCAATTGGCATGTATTTATGATGGTTGCAATATTCCGGGGTCATGTGACCACATTTTGCAGCCTTCTTACAAGCAAAGTCAAAGGGGAAGCCAATTCACTTAACAACTACATTACTAACTGAACAACTGCAGTGATTCACTTAGTAACTGTGGCAAGAAAGGTTGTAAAATGGGGTAAAACTCACTTAAGACTTGTCTTTCTTAGCAATGGAATTTTGGACTCAATTGTGATCATAAGTCGACAATTATCTGTACTCGATGGTTAATGTATTTGTAAAAGAAAATATTGCCTTCCCAATCTAAAAAGTTTAAAAAGTAATTTAAAATGAGTATTAAAGTAAACACTAAAATCATTTAAACAGATAATTCAGAAGGGATGATTCAGAAGGGATCACAACTTATATTTGTGGAAAAACATTTCTTCCCACAGCTGCTATCTGCAAATAGACTTCTCAGCCTATTTGCAAGAGGTAACAAAAGTGCATAAGTCACAAAAGCTGATTTCAATATGTTTTTGTCAAAGCAAAGGGTTTTTATTTGCAAATGTTTTGCTTATACAGCTTAATGCCACCATGTGGTCGACCATCCCAAAGCGAGTAAATGCAGCCATATTTTTGTCCTAATTGTCTGACCAGAGTAAGTTAGACCATAAATTTATATTTACAATCTGACCAGAGCACTAGCAGCTACATGTTCCCAAGGGCTAGAAAATAATTGCACTATTTAATTATTTTTTAGTCAGTTTTGTTATGTCCCCTATGAAAAGGCCATCTGCTATACAGTGCCTTACCTTGCTCAGTGATGTATTTCAGAACCGATAAAACCAATATATTTATGTAGTCATGTCAGCAATCTCATACGCTGTAAGCAGATCTGATTGCTACTTTTAGGAGGCATCATACTTGGAGAACACTTTGAAAAGTAACATATCATTTCTAGGCAGTTCCCTTCTCTCTCCATTGAAAGATTTTTAAAACAAATCTGGGTTGGAAAGCGTAAAAAGAGAAATACTTAAGAAATGCTTCAGCAGTTCTAATCATTAAGGCTCTTGAGTAGATATAGGCATTTATGGGAAAAACCATTATGTATCATTCTTCCAGAGAGTTCTTTGAGCCTTTTCTTTGTACCCTTTGTACAGTCACCTGAGATAAAGTTGTTTCTTACTAGATTTTTACTTGCTGTAACAGTATTCAATAAGCAGATAAAGATTATTAAAAACTAGAATATTTTACTAGGGTAGCTAGGCTTCAATGAGTTAAGCTCTGACTATTCTTAATGCTTCAATGAAAGTTTGCATTAATCATTTTCCATATATTGTTAAATGAGCAAATTGTTAAATTTGTTACCTGACTTTGATTAATCTCAGAAAGCTAAGCAACATGACACATGGATATACTATCAGGAAATATCATGGTTATAGTCCAGGCAAAAATATTGAAAAGAAAAATATTTTGGAAGAAGGCAGTGGCAAAACCTTGTCAGGGACATGTTCATTTGAACAAGATTTGGCACAGATTTCACATTTATTTTGTAAAGTAAAAAAATCATCTCTGTTTCTGGTTGTTCTTAATTGGTCCAAAGGAAAACATTATATGCAGGTATAAAAAAATAATTAGCCCAACTCACTTTCTGTTGTCTTTGATAGACAAATACTATGGATAATCTGGAATAAAATTAAATACATATTCTATCGAGTTATTGTTGGGAGATGGCCCATTAAATTTTGCTCTGTTAGGAAACATTCAGTATACAAACTGTCTAGGTTTAGTCTAAAACAAAATTTTAGGGAAAGTTTTTGGATTTCTGCTCATGGAATGTAGTATCCCACTTTATAAACATCTAATTATCATTCTTTCCTGGTAGTGTCATTATGCTGTTTGAACTATTAAATTCCACTTCCTTCTCTTTTAAGTGATGTTTCTTTGGTACCTTAACTGAAGAATGAAGAACATTACATATGTAGAGTTCTGATAGTTTTGAAATATAGCTAATGCTGAATGGCTCAAGATGTGTAGTCATATTAAATCAATGCTGGAAAGTTACAACTCCAATAAATTGTATATATGCTAATGGTGAATCTGATTTACTGCAACTACTAAAAGTGAAGAATGGAGCAATAGTCTTCTTAAGTCTGCTGTTCTCTCTGTTTCTCTTTTATTCATTCACAGTACCACAAAACGTGCTGACACTCTCAAGAATTCACAGCATAAATGGTCACAGCATTGAAGTTACATGGGATGAACCAGTTGGGGTCAAAGGTGTAATTGAAAAGTACATTTTGAAAGCTTCCAGTGAAGATGGTTCCAACATATCTGTTGTCAGTACAGAGATTTCTAATACTAGTTCATGTACAGGTATATGCCAATAAATGTTGCTTTAAAACAATAATATAGAGATTAGTTTTTGTGTGTACTATTTATTGGTGAAATGATTTTCAGGAAATGCCATATGAGGAAATGAATATCAAAGTGGCATTTCCTGGAAGTCATTTCACCAATATTTTAACTTTTTCATCAAGGTGTCAAACATATATACAAATATTGCTTATTAATTGTGTGTATGTGCGTTATTCGAAGAAGAACCTTGTTTCAGTAAGGATAGAGTGTAGTAAAATGAGGACAGAGTTAGGTAGAGAAGAACTCATTTTAGTAAGGCTCAGATCAAAGAGGAGATGGACTTTGAAAGGATCGTCTGTTTCAGATCACCATTTTTATCAGAATTAGCTAGACGTAAATAAGCTAAAGCCCAGTATTGCAGGAATTTTTGTTGTTGTTCATTTTGTTCATTGTGAAATTCAGTTTGTTTCCCATTAATGTGACTCTTGGAACCGTTTTAACGTTAATTCTGAAACTGCAAAATATATATGTTAGAAGGCTGGCTTGCAATCCTTTATAAGTAGGCGTTATATCACAGATGCTTTTTTATTTCAGTATAATGGAACTCTATTATCGTGCTTGCTAAAACACATCTCTCTAGCGTACATTTAAGCTTATTTTACATTCAAGGAATATGTCCACAGAATGAAAAGGCTGGGCAATTGCCCAGGTGGTAGGGCAATTGCCCATTCCCTCTGCATTATCTGATTCTGTTGCTTTCAGTGTGGAAATACTGATCTAGAAATTGCCTGTTGTAACTGGCAAATTGAGAAGAAACAATGATTACACTGAAAAGCTGATTCTGTATGGTGGAGCTGGAATGTCAGGTTATAACCCAGAAAAGTGTTTATTATAAAGGCAATGAAAACATAATGAGTATGATATACTGGAATGGCAGTAAATCAAGGCTAGGTTGATGGATGCACATAGATAGAAATTAGATTAGGATAGATGATAGAAAGAAAGATAGAAAGATAGATGGATGGATGGATAGATAGATAGATAGACAGACAGACAGACAGACAGCAAACTGCACTCCTTACTAGCACTGATGATGTTACCTAGAGTAATGAAACATTTACAAGAAAACAAGCAAGCTCAGAGAGCACCAGAGACCTCTCATTTCAACCCTGAGCTATAAATATTCTGATGATAGATAGGTAGGTAGGTAGATAGATAGATAGATAGATAGATAGATAGATAGATAGATAGATAGATACATACATACATACATACATACATACATACATACATACATACATACAT